CATTCCTGCCCAAAAATAGCCCTGGAGTCAAGGTACATCCTAAAGATCTAGAGATGCACTAAGCTTCATGTGGCAAAATATCGCCTCCTGTCTACAACATGAAGGAGAGAAGGACAACTTCATGCAAAAAGTACACCGCCCCCAACAAAAACATAAAAGACATGAACTAACTGGCACCCTGCCATAGGGCTCAAGGCACACCACAAGTAACCTCAATTCTGCTCATGAAACTTGGATTTCAAAGGCAAGGCACCCCACTTAAGTGAACTTACCTGGGATGGACACTGTGCTCACTAGCGTTTCTGTCATCTCTGTTGCCACCTACCCAGCATAGAGAGCAAAATGTCATGGCATGGATCCAGCGGTCCAATAACATTCCAGAATGGAACTTCCCTGCTTTCTCCTCCCACTGAGCGCCCCCAGAGGTAGTTCCTGGGGGTCAGTTGCCGCTCAGGAACAGCACAGAGGGCAAAGTGGGGTGGGGGCAGTCTACGGATGTCTTTCATCTTAAGAACATAAGAGAAGCCAATGTTGGATCAGGCCAATGGCCCATCCAGTCCAACACTCTGTCACACAGTGGCCAAAATACCAGGTGCCATCAGGAGGTCAAGCAGTGGGGCCAGGATACTAGAAGCCCTCCCACTGTTGTCCCCCCACCCCAAGCACCAAGAATACAGAGCATCACTTGGCCCAGACAGAGAGTTCCTATCTATACCTTGTGACTAATAGCCACTGATGGACCTCTGCTCCATATGTTTACCTAATTCCCTCTTCAAGCTGTCCATGCTTGTAGCCACCACCACCTCCTGTGACAGTGAATTCCATGATGTGTTAATCACTCTTTGGGTGACGAAGAATCTTTGGAACTGCACCTGTGGCTGTGTTATTCCCTTGCGATTATTATATTAATTTCTCTTCCCCTACTTGACTCTCTTCAGGGCCCCCAAGGTTGCACACAACAATAATAAATTAAGAGTAACTGAGAGTGGGTTAAGCAGTCCTCCCTTTACTGAAAAGATTGTCACAGTGCATGGGGTGTGTACTAATTATGCCCAGTGTCGAAGGAAGTGGCCTTATAGATCCAAGCCCCAGATGGACCATCCCTAAGTCTGGGCAAGGGCATAGTAGGGTTGCCAGCTCCAGGTTTGGACATTCCTGGAGATCTGAAGCCTGTGAAGGGCAGGGTTTGGGGAAGGGCTTCAAAGATATAATGCCACAGGGACTACCCTCCAAAGTGGCCATTTTTTCCTGGGGAATGGATCTCTGTCATCTGGAGATCAATTGTAATTCCCAGCGATCTCCAGGCCTCATCTGGAGGTTGACATCCCTAGCTACATCTGTTGGTGACCGCAGCATCCTTGGCTACACCTGGTCAAATATTCGTGTTTGTAGGCTGACTTGTAGGCTGCATGGTGTGGAGTGTGGAGAACACCTGAACATGTTAAATGGCTGCCTGGTTATCCATGGGGAGACAAGGGAGACAAGTGGGTGCTAAGGAGTAAAGGATGTTATTACTGAGGAGGAGGAGATTTATACCCCACCCTTCACTCAGAGCAGCTTACAATCTCCTTTTCCTTCCCTTCCCTTCCCCTCCACACAACAGACACCCTGCATGTGAAGGAGTGGAGAATCAAACCCGGTTCTGCTGGATTAGAGTCTGTGCTCTTAACCACTACACCAAACTGGCCCTTCCTTCTGTGAGTTTCAGCCTAGTTTCTATTCTCTGATACCTCCCTCTGAAAGTACAACTTTATGGAGGTGACGTAGTTATCAAAACAATTAGGAACTAATTGTGGGTTGGATGTAGAGGGAAATTTCCACAGACAGAAGGGGGTCGATTTCCCCCTTCTGTGGCAGAGCTTCAGCTCCCCCACCATGCTGCTCCTGGGTTTCTCCTGTCCCCTAGCAGCAGCAGCAGCATTTCAGGGGGCATTTGGCTTACAGCAAGAGTAGGGAGGCAGAGAAATGTCACTCCGCCAATGGGAATCCCTTCTGCTAGTGGAGATTTTGGATGGGAACCCACCTTTTGGCATTGCCATAGCGTTTTCCTAGTAGGACTCCAGTGCCTCTACTGAGAGCATCATGAGTGGTTATATAACATTTGCAGCACTAGGGCTTTTTTTGTAGAAAAAGCCCAGTAGGAACTCATTAGCATAACAGGCCACACCCAACAACAGGAACTCATTAACATATTAGGCCACACCCTGACAGCACAGCTCATTAGCACATTAGGCCACACACCCCATGTTGCCAGAAGTCTGGTCATCCAGCCACACCCACCTTTTGCTTCTTATTCTGTTTACCTTGTTTGTTGTCAAAACCCAGGGCTTTTTTTTGTAGCAGGAACTCCTTTGCATGTTAGGCCACACATCCCTAATGTAGCCAGTCCTAATGAGTTTCTGCTGTTATGCTGGGTGTGGCCAACTCGGGAGCCAGCCGGAACTCCGTTCCTGTGCGTTCCTGCCCAAAAATAGCCCTGTGCAGCACTATTTAGCATGACTGCTGTGAAGGGGGAAAGCTGTACCTGTTGCTCTTTTGTCTGCCATGCAGGACCAAAAGGCACACGAACCCTTGATCACCAAAAAGCTTAGGAATGACTTACTTTTTTGAAGATCATTTCAGAAGACAGCCGTGTAGGTCTGCAGTAGACCAGTTAGATAGTCCTGGAGCACCTTAGGGACTGACAAGAGTTTCAGGGTGTAAGATTTCGAGAGTCAAAGCTGCCTTCATCAGACATGAGAAATGGAGATATCTGAGTCCTTTTGTCCTAGTCAGACTATGGTAGGGGTGCTGTAAATAATAATTAAAGGATTCAGCGACCTCCAGTTTGGCATAGTGGTTAGGAGTGTGAACTCTAATCTGGAAGAACTGGGTTTGATTCCCCACGCCTCCACTTGCACCTGCTGGTGTGACCTTGGGTCAGTCACAAGTTCTTTCTCAAGAGAGCACTCTCAGCCTCACCTACCTCACAGGTTGTCTGTTGTGGGAAGGGGAAGGGGAAGGAGATTGTAAGCTGCTCTGAGACTCCTTTGGGTAGTGAAGGGTGGGGTATAAATCCAATCTCCTCCTTCCATTTCTACTCATATCTGATGAAGGGAACTTTAATTCTCGAAAGCTTATACCCGGAAACTCTTATTGATCTCTCAGGTGCTACTGGACTCAAATCTTATTTCTTCAGTGCTCTCTGAACAGCTGCTGGGAAAATCACTAGAGAACCTTCTCCAGCCAGGGATCAAACCTGAGATTTCATCTGTGGCAGGGGGGGCCAAACTGTGGCTTGGGAGCCACATGTGACTCTTTCACACATATTGTGTGGCTCCCAGCAGGGCAGCTGGGGAAGCTAAATATCATTAGCAAACAAATATCATTGGACAAATTAATATCATTATCAATATCTGCTTTTACCCCTTTTGTTATTATTTTGGCAGTCTCATTTAATGTTAATAAAAAGCATATTTGCATATTTTCCAATCAAAACATGTAATATCTGATTATGTATTGTGGCTCTCAAACATCTGATGTTTATTCTATGTGGCTCTCACGTTAAGCAAGTTTGGCCACCCCGATCTACGGTAAGCCTGCACTTTTCTGTTTGGCTTTGGCTGCACATTGGACCCCATTTAGTATAAAAAGCGTATACATATTGGCTTTATCCCCATGCTTAGGGAAACTGTTGTTTTCAAATGGCCCAGATCACCAGGAAGGAACCTAGGTTCATAAATACCAAATTATGTCCCCCCTTCATTGAAAGCACCACGGTATGCGATCTGCACATTGAAAGAAGTAGCAAAACAAACACTCACATCACAGATGGGGAACAAGTCACAGCAGCCACTGAGAATACGTGGCAGACATTTATTGACCACATGGAATTAATGTACAATATGGATATTATGCACCAGCTTTTCAGACTTGAAATTCAGAAAGTTAAATATCACATTTTATTGTGTGTGTATGCACCTATATGCATGTTGCAGACTTTTATTTAAAAAGATGCTGTTATCACCATAAAAGAGAATCTCTCCCCTTCCCACCCCAGACCAAATAATAATAATAATGTCCAAAGCAGAAAATCTCAGTTGTCCTCAGAATATCACTATATAATAAAGGAAGACAATGTTTCGAACCATCCAAGCAATGCAGTAACTAGAGCAACTACTACAAATGCCTTAAAGACAGATGGCTGTTTGGAGTGACTGAGGGAATTAGACACTACCCTGGTCATAAAGGGCTTCAGGATCCGCTCGCGTTGGGTCAGGATAGCTTTTCTGGCGTTGCCCCATTTTCCTGGTCCTTGTAGGCGGTACTGATACGGCGTGCACGGCCCAAAGAAAACCTGCCAGGCCAGCTTGGGATCCGTGAGGAAAAGGAGCCATATATTGACATTCACAGGTATTAGAGCAGCTATCTCATCCATGTATTCAATATAATCCACTTGGATTGTGTGCCGTGGACTTGTCACATACCTTGCGTAAAAACAGAAACATGGTGTCAGCGAGCTGCCAAAAGTTTATTCTTGCCTATATGTTTCTATATGCATTTTTCCTCCCCACCCCCCGTAGATGCGCTCAGCTACTCATGCGCACATCTCCCTAGGAACTCTGCATTCCTTACAGTATACGCCAGCCATGCTTTGATGTAACGTTATCTAGCCAAGGCCACAGGTGGAAGAGCAAGAGAGCTTTGCTTTGTCTTTAATTAGTAGAGACTGTGAGAAAGTGTATGCTTATTTATAATAAGGTAGCCATTGCGTTCCCAAGGAATAGACGCGCAAGAAACCCTTTGGGCGCGGGCGGGAAACATGTTTATTGGCTGTATTGATTATGAACTTGTTTTAACCTTGCCAGCTCTCCGAGCTATCGTTATTCTGAACAGTGGCTTTGTTCCAGTGCTTCATGGCTTCAATAAAGTAAAACCTTCCTGCAAGCGTGTACTTCGTTGTGGGCTGTGGGGTCTGACACATGGGTGTTTTGACTGAATGCATGTCCAGTGTGAACTGAAGGACAGAAATGAAGCCACATAGGACCTTCTATAAAAACAATATCAGAGCTCTGGCACTCAGTACCTTCGTCCTTCCCCCCTCCCCTCTCTTAAATCGGGCCATTTATAATTTCCATCTACAAAGGGTAAACTGAGATCGGGCAATGAAAACACTCTTCCAAAGACACTGTCCAATTTTCCATTTATATTCTGTGCAAAGCCAATAGTCCAATAGCAAATGTACATACAGGCAGATGTGGCCCTGTTGTTCCACACGGCCGAAAGACTCCCTGCTTCTCCACCCCAAATCCCTCCTTCTAAAACCTGTTTTCCTTCAGGTCTGCTGCAATTTGGTTACATACCGTTGCATGTCATGAAGTTTGTCCTTCTTCAGCTAAAGAAAACACTCACAGGCTGTGGAACTTCCATTTGTAGTGAGAAAGCCCTCCACCATCCCATTTCAGAGTTGGACCAGTTAAAAACAAACTGGTTTTTTAAAGTTTGTTCTCGTTTCCAGAGCCATTTTGAATCAAGGGCCCATCAATATCTTTGGAGGTATCATGGGAACTAGAAGCTTCCACAACACTTTCAAACCACCACCCCTCCCCCTAACACTAGGGTTGCCAAGTTGGCATGACTCACCGGCGGGGGAGCGTTTCTTCCGTTTGGGAGCTGCCGTGGGACACGCGCAGAATGTCACAGGAAGTGACGCACAACGTAGGGCACGTTGGGGGCGTGGCCCAGATCATCGGGGGGGAAACCATATGGTTTTCCCCCCGACGATCTGGGCCACGCCCTCAACGTTCCCTACGTGGCCGCGTCACCTCCGGTGATGCAGCTTCGGGGGGCAGAGTCCCCCCCGGGGCCCAATTCCGCCGCAGCGGAAATCGGGCCTCCAAAGCGGGGATTTCCCCGCCCCCACTTGGCAGCCCTACCTATCACTGAAAGCCATTCCCATCCATTCCTCATCATGGTGGCAAGGACAGCTTATTATGACATTGGGGATGTGAGGAACTGCAGGAACTACACTGCCTGACTGTCACAAATTTTAGAAAGGAAGGATGTGCAGGTGGCAGCTGCAAGGGCAAGAACAGGGCCATGTCATGTAGGGTTGCCAACCTCCCAGTGGGGCCTGGAGATCTCCTGGAACTGCAACTGATCTCCATTCAGAAGAAGTAGAAGAAGAGGAGGAGGAGGAGGAGATTGGATATATACCCCATCCTTCAGTGCCCAAATGAGTCTCAGAACGACTTACAATCCCTTTCCCTTCCCCTCCCCACAACAGACATCCTGTGAGGTAGGTGGGGCTGAGAGAGCTTTGAAAGAACTGCCTTTGAGAGAGCAGCTGCATGTGGGAGAATGGGGAATCAAACCCGGGTCTCCCAGATTAGAGTCTGTGCTCCTAACCACTGCACCAAACTGACTGACTGACTGACTGAGTCTCTCTCTCTCTCTCTCTCTCTCTCTCTCTCTCTCTCTCTCTCTCTCTCTCTATCTCTCTCTCTCTCTCTTTTCTCTCTCTTCTTTACTGAGGTTGTTGACTTCTAATCCTAGCCATGGAAATTGTTAGGCCTGCTGCCAAAGCTGTAGGAAATCCCTAAGACTTCGGCAATGGGCATTTGATGAGAAGAGGTACACACCAGCTGCATTAAGTGTCGGAGAACTTCTCAACTTTGTGATTTATATATATAAAAAAAGTTGAAGTGGATATGGGTGGAAAATCCAGAAACAGCCGGCGTATATTTTTCTAAGGCAGAGGTAGCCTCATGTTCTGTTCTTTTGACTTAGAGTACTTCTACCTTTCCTACATAAGATGAGGAGCAGCTTGTTGCCCCCAAGTGAAGCTTGCATGAGTGTCCAAATACAACATGTGGATGTTGCCCCCAATTAATGCCGAAAATTGTTTCCATCAACAGTTCCGCCAGACTCCACTCAGCAGTAGACTGGAATCTGCTGGAACCCGAATGTGCTCGGCAAGCACCTAGGGTTCAATCGCTTGTTTTTAGATTGTCTGTTCAAAGAAATCCCAGGCAAAATTAACATTTCTGTGAACGATGGCTGTTTGCTATTTCATTTCAGTTTAGATGAAATATTTGGGTTGGCTCAGGAGCGGCTGCCAGGTGGCTAAACATGCCTAGCAAATGCAGTCAGTGCTTGGGATACAAGTGGCACTGAAAGCGTCCAGAACATTACTTGGGACCATGCTGTCTGCCAATCATTCCAGGCTGTTCTTGCATAACATCTCACCAACTCCAAATCTCTCTCTCTCTCTCTCTCTCTCTCTCTCTCTCTCTATCTCCCTCTCTATCTCTATCTCTATCTCTCTCTATCTATCTATCTATCTATCTATCTATCTATCTATCTATCTATCATCTAATCACAATGCTGATTCTGTGAACTCAGGCAGATCTTGAGAGGGCGAACAGGAAGGGTTGCATCAGTGCTTATTTCTTTTTCTTACATGCCCAGGGAAATGCTGATTGCCATGTTGGGGTCAGGATGTAGTTTTTCTCCAGGCTAGTTTGGCTGGAGATCCTGGAGGTTTGTTGTCATCGTCTGGGCATGGAACAGCCATCACTGGGTATGTGTGTGTGGGGGGGTATTTCTAAATTTCCTGCATTGTGCAGGGGGTTGGACTCGATGACCCTGGAGATTCCTTCCAACTCTGTGATTCTAATATGTAATGTGTTCTCTTTTTAAATTTTAAAATAAATAAATATATATATATCAGTTCCCCTGAAGAACATAGCTGTTTTGGAGGGTAGGATCTATGGCATTATACCCTGCTGAGTTCCCTCCCCTCCCCAACCCCGCCCCTCCCAGCTCTATTGTCAACAAGTCTAAATCCGGCCCTGAGCACGTGGTCATTTCTCTACCTCCGTGTCATGATCCTGGGCCTATGTGGTGCAACCTACAGGTTCTAGAGAGGCCTAGTGGTTCCAGGCAGGGAAGCCTCTACTGGAGTTAGGGTTGCCAAATACCTTTTGTTCTGCGGCGGGGGGCTCCCAGACGACATAGAGTTTTCCCCTCAGGTGGCTGTGGCCCCGCCCCCAGCGTGCCCGGCGTCGGCACGTCACATCCAGCTGACGTGCACGCCGGGGTGGGGTTTCCCCGGGGGGGAATTGGCAGCCCTAACTGGAGTAGGTATCAGGGCCTACATTTCTCAGGTACCCTCTGGACTCTGTGATTGGCTAACAGGGGATTTGGTGGGAAAACTTGTACCAGCAGAGGGTGGTGCCTGGGAAGAAGAGATAAAAGGCCTTGCCCAAAGTGGGAGGGTGTTCTCTCCCTCAGGGAGCAGGGCTGGTGAGGCTGCTGCAGAAGGAGGGGTCCTTCATCCAAAAAGGGGTGAGTCACTCTGAGACCTGGTACCCAGAGCAGGCTAGGACAGTATAGTCAGACACATTAGGATTTATTATTTTGCTGATTTACTTACATTTACGGAGCTCATTTTTCCTATACATTATTAAATTGAAGTTGTTGTTCAATCTCTTTAATAAGACTAGTTTGTTACTCTGCCTGGGTCCTCATGCCTCATTCAGTCACATATAAACGGGAAACCTACTGGAAAAGTACTGTATAAAGGGGTAGGGTGGGCGCTCTGAGCCTTCCCAAGGAGACCCATACCAGAGTGGTGGCAGCCATTTGAGAACCTTTCTAGCTGCTGCCTGCGACACTCTGCCATAACACAATGACATGGAAGTCGCCCCCCCGAAACCATATGGTTCCCCCCCCCCGACGATCTGGGCCACGGCAGAAATCGGGCCTCCAAAGCGGGGGATTCCCTGCCCCCCGCCCCCACTTGGCAGCCCTACTTAAGCATGTATGTTAAGTACCATCAACTCGCTTCCAACTTATGAAGACCTTGTCAATTACATCGTCTCCTTAACATCCTTGCTCAAGTCCTGCAATCTGCATAGCAAATGTAAATCAGAAAGATATACGCAATTTTTCAGCTGCCAGAGATGGTACGGACAGTTCCTACACTCTCTTCCTTCCATAAAAGGAGCAAAGTGGAATTATTACAATATGCCTTTAGCAGAACTAACTAATGAATGGCTCTGGCAGCCGGTAATGACAGTGTTGCCGTTTGAACAACGTATTTTAATTCATGTTTTTAAAATATGTTCTTCATTGCATGTGTTTATATCTTGTGAGCCGCCTTGGCATTGTGGAAAGGTGGGATATAAATATTTTAAATAAATAAATATTATTTTACCTATAATCCACTATGAGGGCATTCCCCGCTGTGCCAGTTTTATTCTCAAACGTCACTTATTGCTATTTTTAAAAAAGGAAACAATTATTGTCTTATTCTGGTTGCTAGGTCAATTAAGGTGAATACGAAGCAAAGCAGGAAATGCATGGACTGGCTGATGGCTTGGCACCCCTGTTACATTCCCACCCAACCCAACACACCATTCATTTGGGGCAAAAGTATCCTACCGTTTGGCCATTTCAGCTTGCTTGAAGTGAATGTCCTTCAACATGTCACTTGCCGAAGGCAGCTTACACAGCCCTAGGAACAGAAGTCAGCATGTCACAAATAGGCTGCAATGTGATCAGATCCCCTTTCTGAGGAACTAGGTGTTGGAAATTGCTTTCAAGTTGCAGCCAACTTACAGTGACACCAAAGGGGTTTTCAAGACAAGAGACGTTCAGAGGTGATTTGCCATTGCTTTCCTCTGCATAGCAACCCTAAACCTCCTTGGTGATATCCCATCCAAGGACTAACCAGGGCCGACTGTGATTAGCTTCTGAGATATGCCGAGATCGAGCTAGCCTGGGCCATCTAGGTCAGGTCCTAAGAGGTGTATTTAATGTGATGCTGTGACAGATTACACAGAAAAGCAGGCTTTTTAAAATGCTGCTTGGTACAGAGAGTCAGGGAGGTTATGATTTAATCTTCCCTGGAGAGAAGAGCTTATGTGATTGGCTGCTCTACTCACTCTCTGGTTAGCCAGCATCAGCTGAGAGAAGAAATAAAGCACCTGATCTGGAGGGGAAAGTGGTCTTCCACAGTTTGGTCTTTGTCTAAAAACTAACGTCTAGATCAGTAGCCAGAGGGTTTGGCTTTTGAGGGAAGAGACATTTTGGGAGTCGGTATTTTCTGACAGGCAAGAGTCAGAAAAGTACTTCTACAGAAAGAAGAAGAGAAACTCCATTGTCTTAAATATATTAAAACTGTTCTGAGGGAGAACTTAGTTTCTCAATCAGGAAAGCTACACAACAGCCTTATACAGACAAAGAATACTGAAGAAGGATTTGGCAGAAGGTCTGGGTAGTTAGAGTGAACTCCCATATAAGCCAAATAGTAAAAGGAGTTATTGCTTCTTAGGGACAAGGAGAATAACTTCCTGCCAGTGAAAGGCATTGGGAAGAGGACCCTGGTCTATAAAGGGGAGAAGCTTAGGCACTTCAGGAGTTAGTGAAAAGCTGTAATATCTAAAGGAAAATCTAGAATTCTGAAGGAAGAAATCTAGAAACTTTAAGCAAACACTGTCCTCCAGAAGAAACATTAATAAGAACTGCGTTAGTGCTGAAATATACTAAACAAAGTAAGGAAGAAAGAACTAGAAAACTTGAAACAAAACTACAAATACACTCTCTTGAATGTTCTAAGAATTCAACTCTGTATATATTAGAAAGTTCTTTACCTCAGCAATCTCAAAACCTTGACTATTCCTTTTATACATATATTCCCTGCCTGTTTAATTCTCTATTCTGTTTTTGAAAGTTAATTTTCCTCAAGTGCCATTTCACAAGGGTTTATAAAACAAGACACCTCCTGTCTTTCCCTCAAGCTCCTGTACTGGGTCTAACAGTCACTGAGGGGAACTGAAGTTTTGGCGGGGAAAATCTGCTAGACAGTTGGGGAGATACAGGGGTCCATCACAGATGCCGAGGAGTAACATCAGCATACTGATGACATCCCACTACAAAGCTTTGGATGATCTCACTCAGTGGACTTAAACTAATGAGAAATAACTTACGGCCAGACAGTTGGGGAGATACAGGGGTATATCACAGATGCCGAGGAGTAACATCAGCTTACCTTTAAACACACGTGTAACCCAGCGAGCCTGCATTTCTGAAATGGGCATGATGGCCCCCAGAGGCTGGACAAGGCCAATGATAGCCAAGGTCGGCTTCTCCAAGTGAGGTGGGAAGACAAATTTATACAAGGTGACCTGGTTATTAGTTACTGAGAGGGTATTCCCAAGGAAGGGGAAAGAGAAACTGTATCCCGTGGCAAATACGACAAAATCAATATTGTCCTCCTTGCTGCCATCATCAAAGAGGACGGATGTTCCAGTGAACTCCTTGATGTTTGGTTTCACCATCACTCTGCCAGAAATAATGCGGTTTGGGAGGTCATCATTGATGGTTGGATGCTGACTGAAAAGACTGTAAAATGGGAGGAAAAGATTTACAAATATAGCAATTAAAATCCATTGGGTGGAACCAGCAGAGCTGATTCTCTAAGAATTTTCACTTTACAATTTGGACTTATAACTACTGACTTCGTCAGCACCAAGAATGCTAGAGCAACGGAGTAAAAAAGTTCTAAGTGACGGTCTGTTTAACATAGCATTATTTTAAAAGAAGAAAGTTAAACTTCCTACAGACATAAATTCTGCTTTTTCTTCCCTCCCTCCTTGCTCTAACCATCCAGCTACAGAGATCTTTCATTTTAGACTCCTAAACAAGTTCCCCAGGTACTTGTACATAACAGAAGCATAAATACTTGAGAGAAAAAGATGAATCCAACACACATCCTCATACACAGACAGAATCCAGTCTGGAAGTATCCGTCTTGTATAGCTGAGAAATCTAGTCCCATCATTCTTGGACAAAAACTATTTCCATCCTCACAAGCATCCCTGAACACTCTGTAATGCTCAACAGGCATTTTCAAGCATTCAAAGGGAACATTGGCAGAGTGCGTGCACTGGTGTGCTCTCTTCCCTTCCATTTACCCTCCGCTCAGTATGGAATTCATTGGCAGTGGTTGTTGAGATGGCCACAAGCCCAAATTACTTCAAAACAGGATTAGACAAAGTCTGTCAATGGTCACTATTGAATGTGGAGGTTTCCTTTAATCACCATGTCTAGCAAACCTCTAAATCTGAGGGCTAGGAGGCAACACAGGGCTTTGGTCTCTATGCCCTACGCTGGATACCCTGGCCACTGAGTGAAACAAGATGGTGTACTAGATAGACAACTTGTCTGATCCAGTACAACTCCTCGAATCTCTTTAACATGAGTCCCAATATATCACACCAAAAGCTAGGATTAGGAAATCAGTCAGTTGACCAAGTAACTGCCGTTTGTTTGATCACAATGAAATGTTGTTTAATATGTGAAAAATAGAACAGCATTTGTCCTACTGGCTACAGCAGAGTAGGATTTTATTTTCAAAGAGCATAAATGAATAACAAATCTGTATTTTGGGGTGAACCTTGTAATTGCAAAATTTTGCCACACTCCCACTCCACTATCAAAGGCATGCCTGAAAGGCAATTTCCAGCAAGACACTTGAAATCATGCCAGAAAACCCCCAGATATTTTGTTTGTTATTTGGGGTACAAAAAGCAAACTAGACTAGTTGTAGTTGTCATGAAAACCTAGCCTATTTCTAATTCAAGTCTCTTTGCTGACATTTTAACTTGTGGTTTCAATTGTTTTGCGAATATTGGACCATAGACAGTCCCAGCACAAATGGTACAGGATTCTAAACATTGTTGATAGTAAAACTAGCTGAGGTGGTAATTTGCTTGAGGTGTGCATGAACCACCTACAAGAACTGTAGTCCTTGAAACATAACATACCACAAACTGGATATATTTTGTTTCTGACTGGGAATTTATTTGGGATTAAGGTTTGGCTTCCCTGTCTGGCCACCCTAGTACTTTCCTACCCTGTCTGGCCATCATGGTGCCTGGCTTGGTTTCAGAAGTCATCTCGATGTATGTATTCTCCAGACTTATTTGGGATAGCACAGTCTTTGGGACAGCACATTCTTCTTACAGCAAGCCAAGTTCTCAGTCATGAATTAACATGACTATGGATGAACTGGTTCATGAGTTATGTAAAGGGCTTGAATGTATGAACTTGGGGTTCTTTGTAGCTCACTATAATGATTCTACAATGATTTTCCACCCTAAAAACCCATCAACTACCTATGACAAGCATCTCATTAGCTGTTCCTGTACTGCCAGTGCATTATTTCACCTCTTTTTACGGATACCACCACAACCTGTCTCAGTTGGTCCAACATAAGGCTACATTTTCTTCAGTAGGAATTATTATTAAGGCTGGCCCAAGACATTTGCCACTCTGAGCTGAGGGTTGTGCTCCATCCCCTTTCATCATGCTGCTAACTCTACTGCCTTCACATGCACAGTTTTCTTTCTTAAAATATTTTTTCTACAGAAAAGCACACTGATGCAAGGAAGTTTTAATGCTTCTTCAGCAAGCTACCTTTGGGCAGAGGTATGGAAGTCAACCCTGCAGTAAATATTACTTCAATGAGAAACTGAATCTTGACAGAGGTCACTTTGGCCACAGGGCCAAAGAGAAAGTCAACTTGCAGCAAGTAATGAGGTGTCTTGCAGCTGACGAATGTCTTTGTATACAAATGGGACCATTATGAAAGCGCAAAAGTTCAAGTCAGTAGAATGCTTCAACCTGGGATCACTTCAAGATGTCAGCTGTTCATTAGGTTTAGAGAACATTGGTTCATCTGAAGATTGGGAGAAAATGGATGATTCCAATTTATATTGACAGATTACACCCAGGCCATTTCCACAGTACTGAAATTCCCCCCATTTTAAAACTGTGCATTATGTGAAACTTTCCACAGTAGATTTTTCCTCAACAGGCACAGACCAGAAGTTTTCTCCTTTTTGCCCCATGTTTTTGGAATCCCCAATTTTAGCGAGTTCCAAAAACATGAGGTAAGAAGGAGAAACCTTTGGGTCTGCGCCTGGTGTGGAAAAATCTACTATGGAAATTTTCACATAGCACACAGTTTTTAAAACATCAATGTGGGGAATTTCACTATTATGGAAATGATCCCAAAGAGTATTTGTAGTTATGCTTTCTTGACCCTCAAAAGCATCCAAGGTCATATCTTTGTTAATGATATATGTTTCAGGGACAGCAAAGGTCACCGTAGGATATCTACAGCAAAGAGGTGATCATACATGGACAGAACATGTCTGAGTAGACAATACTGGCCTTGATGAACTGAGGGCCTGATTCAGTATAAGGTAGCTTCAGGTGTTTTGATTTGAAAACCTGCAACTGTACCATTCTAAAACTTAATGGATGTCCTCTACAATGATATGAAAACCTTATTTGTATACAGACAGTGCAACGGTGGAGGGACCGAATGGCAGACAAATATGGCCTAGCAATATTATTACACAGCCTCCAGGGAGCGTCAGAGGAAAGCTTGTTACATCATGTTCCTATGCTGAGGCTGAGTAATTCCCGTCAAACTTATTGCCATCTTTCCTATTCAGGTCAGGAAAGAATAGAAGAATGCAGTGAAAAAGACCCAAATGACTATTATTGCCAAGGCGGTTCTTTCCCGCCCTCTGTCTGTAGCCCAAATGTAATCATTCTAATTTAGAACTGCACCTGTGTTGAGGCTGGAGTCCATACATGGTGTGGTCGAACTTTTTGTTTATTTTTTTCTGTACTAGAAAGTGCACAGAATTACGAATGAAAGTGTGTCTGTAGAAGGAATGGAAAATTCGTCGGTTAAGAATAAGATCTTGGGGCTCTCCACCATCCCAGACACGATTCATGATCCATGCCCCACGCCTGGTGCTAAGGAAAACCTGTAGGAAGGAGAGAGGAAAGATTTTAAAACCAATTTTAAAACCAAGGGAGGGCTGTGGCTCAGCGGCAGAGTATCTTCTTGACATTTAGAATGTTCCAGGTTCAATCCCTGGCATCTCCAGTTAAAAAGATCCGTTAGTAGGTGATGTGAAAGACCTCTGCCAGAGACCCTGGAGATTCACTACCTGTCTGAGTAGACAATACAGACCTTGATGAACCAAGGGTCTGATCTCTCCCTTATTATAAAAGAGTTTTGGGTGCCAGAATTCTAAAATTGGCCCCTTTAGTGTTAGGCCGAAAAAACTGCCACTCGGAAGACACTGGCTGGGTTCATTGGCTGCTTTGTGCAGTCCCGGCCAGCGTTCCAAGGTCATTTACATATGGAAGCTGATTGGACTACACTCCATTCCACACCTCAAACTCCCCCCCCCCCCACAAGGCAGTTGGAATTTTCAGTTGGGAGAGGAGAATGATGTCAGCTGCTCCCTAGGCAGAGGCTGTGTGTGTGTGTGTGGGGGGGGGGTTGTAAAGACAGACAGGCAGATAAACGTTGGCTGATGGTTGCCAACTCCAGGTTCAAACTCCAGGACATAGGGTTGCCAACTCCAGGTTGGAAACTTCCAGGATATTTTAGGGATGAAGCCTGCTGAGGGTGGGATCTGAGGAGGAGGAGGAAGAGGGGGACCTCAGACAGATACAATGCCATGCTGCCCACACTCCAGACAAGCTGTTGCCAGTCTCCAGGTGACAGCTGGAGAGATCTTAAAGCTTTGGTGCTACTTCAAAGTTCCCCAGGAGCCCAAAACAGAGTAGTGTTTTGGAAAATCTTGAGGAATTGTTTGGTGCATTTACGATGGGGCTCCTGGGGAACTATTGTTGCCAATCTTGGCCCAGCAGCCATCAAACCATTCTCTTCAACCCCCTGCTGTGCAGCTGACTTTCCCCTAGGGTTGCCAATCTCCAGGTGGGACCTGGAGATCTCCCACTGCTACAATTGATCTCCAGATGACAGAGATCAGTTCCCCTAGAGAAAATGACTGCTTTAGGAGGGTAGACCCTATGACATTATACCTGCTGAGTCCTTCCGCCCCCCCCCGCCCAATGCTGCCCTCTACAGAATCCACCCCCCAAACCTCCAGGTATTTCCCTCCTTAGAGCTGGCAACCCTACATTCCCCTCAGTGCCTGTTGGGAGTGGGTGGTGGGGGAGGGGAAGGGAGTGGGCGACCGGAGGCTTCTGCCTCCTGTCTCCGGTCCTGGAGTGGGGGGGGTGGAAACGGACCCGGCAGCCGGAGGCTTGCACCTCCAGTCGCCGGCCCTGGAGTGAGTGGGGTTGAGTGGGGGGAAACGGACCCTGCGGCCGGATGTCGGCCCTGGAGTGGGTGGGGGTGGGAGGGAAAACGGGCCTTGCGGCCGGAGGCCTCTGCCTCGCTGGGCCTGGCGTTGGGGGGGTTGTTAGGGGAAGGGACGCC